TTGTTCAATCAGAGGAACCGTCATTTCAGCAAAATATCAATTTTCTTGTGAACCAGTTCAATTAAAGGGGTGGTTCACTGGGTTTTTTTCTAGTCTTGATTGTGTTTATGGGGTGCAGTCTAACATGTGTTAATGCTTCGTTTTTTAAAAAACGCATTATTTTTCACATAATTTACCTTTATTCCACACCGCTCTGTCCCTTCTCTGAAAAACGCACTGATCATTTCCTTCTTTTATGAAGCCCCTCCCTCAGAAATAGGCGATGGGCTCTGATTGGTTAGCTAGCCCAGTGTGTTGTGATTGGCTCAACCGTCTCTAGTGCGCGTCTAAGCGTCCCACCCCTCACCTCAGCGGCATGTGCTCCGGTTGTATTGTAAACAATGGCGTCGTTAATATCACTTATCAGTTTGAGCCCGATTGAGAAGCAGAGGATATTATTGAAGAGGATCGTGCAGAACCTGTGCAAGCACGGCTTTAATTGGTAGGCCTATGTTTTTTGTTTGTTGTTGTCTCATCCTTTTAGATACGCTGTTATTTGTAAATGCTACTGCTTATGTTAGCTTTTAATATACGTTTTATCCTGATTAAAGCTTTAATACAGTACGGCAACTGCACACGCGTCCATGTTTAACGCTTCTCATAGCTATGTGAAAATAAGTGTATAATTGTAACAGTTCATTGTTGGAGCTGAACTGAATGAGAGAGAGAGAGAGATGCAGAGCGTGTGCAGAGCAGGGGATGCGAGGAACAGTATTAAGAACCGCTGCTTTAGAACATTGATTTTGAAACTTGTGAATCCATTAGAATCGTTAGAAGACAGAATCGCGATTCATATATGAATAGATTTTTACGTGCACCCCTAGTTTTCTCTTCCTCTTCTCTAAAGCAGCATGGCCTCGCCCCCTTTGCTGCCATTTCCCGAGGGCGGGGTTTATCTGGGTTTGTGACGTCACGAACCCGGGAAGTAACTTGTTGTAGTCCCTACCAGCCGTTTTTGTAGGCATTAAACTGCCAGAATTTTAAAAGACGATTATCTCCATTTGCATTGAACTTTCAGCTTCGTAACATTGCATATATTGTTTATGCTCAAACAGCAACATTACACACTAACTAATGTTAAAAAAGTGAAATCGCAATCAACCACCCCTTTAAGTGGACAGTTTGAAAGAACTGATTTCTGCATATGAATCAAACTTCTCAGCAATTGAAAATAAGACATTATTATAATTTCCATCATCTAGCTGTAAAGAGTATAAAACTGCCCTTGAAGAGCTTACAAAGACAACAGCAAAGACGGGGGGTGATGACATATCTCAGGCCATTAGGTACATCAAACACTCATTTCCCTCATCGGCTTTATTGTCTCTGTGTATATTTGTAAACCACCGAGCTGATTTCTTCTTTTCTGCCATCTATAGTTTTGGAGAGAGCAGAGCAAAGAACAGCCCAGCCAAACCTAGTGACATCAGCCCATCACAGCTGAGCCGCAGCAGCGTTGATGCTGACCCTCTCAGTAAACCTAACCACACTTTACCAAATACTAGCCACTTACAAATACCATTTAGAATTTGTTCTGATATGGAATTTCTTATAAAACAAAATGTTTATGGCATATCTTTTGCAGAGGAGCCTGAAAATGGAGACAAACAGAAGAAGCAGACAGGAAACCCACACATCGAGCTTCGTAAGTATCAGCCTCAAATAGCAGAATTAAACATTTAGGTAAATATTATTGGCCCTCTGACATTAAGTAATTGCGGGTTAAAAACTAACCACTATGTCAGTTTTTTATCTTTTCGAAGTTTTCAAATATATTTTAGAAATAAATGATCTATTTAATAATAATAATAATAGGTATACATATAAATAAGGACATCTGAAAATCATACTTACAATGCAGAGTTCTCAGACGCAAATGCCAAGTTCTACTGCCGAATCTACTACGCGGAAGAGTTCCATAAAATGCGGGAAGCGATTATGGAGAGCTCGGAGGATGATTTTGTGCGATCGCTCTCCCACTGTGTCAACTGGCAAGCTCGTGGCGGGAAGTCCGGTGCTGTTTTCTATGCCACTGAAGGTATGACCGTGCAAGATCCTTTACGAAAGTTTTTTTTTTTTTTATTATTGAGGTAGTTGCTTTTATTAAGTGAAGACTTCTAGGTTGTTGGATGTATTTTGCTAAACATGCTGTTTCTCCTCAGATGATCGGTTTATTCTAAAGCAGATGCCGAGATTAGAGGTCCAGTCCTTCTTAGACTTTGCACCCCACTACTTTACTCACATCACAGGAGCAGTTCAGCAAAAAGTAAGGAAATACATACCTTGTAGGGCTGTCTGAGGCAGCATTTTTGGCCCGTTTCAGGTTTTTCTCTCTAAACTGTTCTTGTATCTGTTTAACAGCGCCCCACAGCACTTGCTAAGATTCTGGGAGTGTACCGTATCGGCTACAAGAACTCCCAGAACAACACCGAAAAGAAACTGGACCTGTTGGTGATGGAAAACCTCTTCTTTGGGCGAAAGATGGCACAGGTACATTTATTGAGACTTTAAATTAGCAACTTAAAACTTCTCTGAAGTGTTTCAGAAATACTGTTGAGTTTGGGAATTTTGATTTTCACATTCTGTTACGTGGTCTTGTTTCCTGTGTTTGTGCAGGTGTTTGACCTAAAGGGGTCCCTGAGAAACAGGAATGTGAAGACAGATCATGGAAAAGAGAGCTGTGAAGTGGTGCTCCTGGATGAGAACCTCCTGAAACTGGTGCATGACAATCCCCTTTATATTCGCTCACACTGCAAGGCCATTCTGCGTGCCGCCATCCTCAGTGACGCCCACTTCCTGTCCAGCCACCTCATCATTGATTATTCCCTGCTGGTGGGCCGTGACGATGCCACGGATGAACTAATTGTGGGCATCATAGGTGAGAAAATCTTAAGTGTTATTTTAAAATCCACATTGGACTTTTCTTTTAGTGATTGTTAAAACTCTTGTGTATTTGAAGATTATATCCGGACTTTCACATGGGATAAAAAGCTGGAGATGGTGGTCAAATCTACTGGGATTCTTGGAGGTCAAGGTACAGTTATACCTTCCTAAAACATTCACAGCCATGATATTCTCAGAAGCTGAAACTCTTCCCTCTTGTTTAAACCCAAGTCTCATCTTCTTTCCTTTCTGACAGGTAAAATGCCCACGGTGGTGTCACCAGAGCTGTATAGATCACGTTTCTGTGAGGCCATGGACAAATATTTCCTTATGGTCCCTGATCACTGGACAGGTCTTGGTCTCAACTGCTGATGGACAAGGGAACATTACAGCTTGAAAGGGATATGCTGCTCTCTCATGTACTTTGCAGTGATTTCATGGAAGACCCACTGAAGTGCACCTTCCATTATCTGCAGTGCTGTCTGAAGCTGGGTGAAACTGAACCCCTCTCTTTCTATGCTTTGTGCACAAACTGACCAAGACCCAGTTCCAGAAGATCCACAGAGCAGACCGAACTGAAATGGCTGAACTTTTAGAACCCTGTTATGCAGTAGTGTTTGTTTATAACCTGTTAACTGTGGATGATGTAAAAGTTTGTAAATGTACAGAGATATGTAATTAAAGATTATTAATACTGGTAAAAGTCTCAGTTTTACGATATTTAAATTTAACTGCCTAGTTGCAAAAAAAAAAACTAATACTAAGACATATCGTTAAGGACTGTTCTTTAGGGGCTTTTGCGAAAACGACATACTTCTGCATTTTCTCCTCATGGATAGTCATTGGGAGTTGAAATCAGATTTTAGCTGAGCACCCAAAGGACTACAACTCACACTCATGGTAACGTTCCCTATAGTATAATGAAACATATACACTTGAAAAAGAGATTCATATATACCTAATAAACAAATCATGACAGAGACAGTTTGGAAGCGTTAATCGATTCGCAACTGGCTAGCAACAACAACAGCTTACAACAAACGAACACTTTTTAGGACTTTTCACAATAGTTAACCATGATTTTCCCACCTTTTAGATAAATTAATATGATCATTAATTTGAATTAAGACTGGCATAATAATAATGAATGGATGTTTTGGTCAGCGCGTTGTAAATCATATAACGTTACCACAGCTTTATAATGAAACAGTTCTTCTAAAAGAGCATTCAAATATAGTTGGTATATCAATTTGAAATTGTGGGACACAGACGTAGACTGAGCAGGTAAAAATCAGGGAGGAAGCGAGTAAAGGTAAAATGTAACCCCTAACCCTAAATGTGTACATTTTTTTCTAAAGAAAATTGGTATATTTAGAACCCTTCGTCAAACTCACCTAGACCAACTTCACGTGTTTAGGCCAAAATACGAGCCAAAGGGTCCTCTTCCTGAAGACACCCTTGTATTCACTCCTCATCTTCTAAGATGAAATTTCATGTTTTATGTATATATACATATTTGCAAATAGTCCTCGCTTTTCAACTGAGACAACGTTTTCGCCATATTAGCATATCGACCTATGATTGGTCGTCATTTGCTGCATTGCTCAACTTTAAATATTTATATATTTGCCCTTTAAACTCCAAAAACCTATGTCAAATTTCGTTCTCGTTCGTTTGAATTAGTCACCTGTCTTTTTTGGACCCAGAAATACAGGTGATTTTAATTCAATTTATTAAAAGTAAAAATGCATAATTACTAAAAAAAAAAGGAAATGCAAAATGATTTTCACACAATACTTGGCCTATTATTATTTACTTCTTGTGAGTTCTGAAACAAGGAAACAAGATATTTTCTGAAAATTTTTTTTTTGTACACATACAGTATCAATGCGTGAGAGTCCATTCACTAAATGATATCAACTTTCTAAAATGACAATGATTAAAATTACATTTAACATACAACTTTTGATAAAGTCAGGTGGAAAACAGGCCTGCACTTTTCATTTTTGTAATAGCCTAAATGGATTTTCAAATGGATAAGAAAACAGACTACACAAAACTCAGTTAAAACATTTTATATAATAGTCATACAATTTTTATAAAAGAAACTTGAGCTGACAAAGAACCTTCAACATTGGAATAAAGGAGGAAACCATAATCTAGATTGTCACACATTTCAAACCTTTTTTTTTTTCTGTTATAATACTGTTCGACTCATTCTTCTGCGTCCTTTCACTCACAATCCATCTAATTTATGAAAAGAAAATCAACCATGTGCTTCCGTTATAAGACAGTTGTGTGCAATTTTTGCTCTGGTGATGATAATGTCCATGAGCTGATATGTACAAAGACTGTTTTCTATTGTAAATCACACACTCATAGGCACAAACATCAGGACTTGGTGAAAAACATTGGCTTGTGATTGGCAGGTGTGACCCAGACTTATCTTCACATCTTCAGACTTTCATTACACTCTAATACATACATACAGACAGACATATACTGATGTAATCTAACAAACTCTGAAAATGCAGAACAAGGCACTGGACACGGTGGAGAAACTGGCACATTGTGGACAAAGGCAAACAGACAAATGGTGGTTTACATTTTCATTTTGAATTTGTTTTGGAAAGTTTCTGACCGGCAAGATATTAAAACACCATCTTCACTGAAAGCTCTTTGTCTTTTGAAGCAAAATAGAATCAAAATTGAAAGCAAAGAAACACTCTTGCTAACATCCCCCAAAAGCATGTTTAGAAATCTGTTTAAAAAAAGGATTGATATTCAACCAGTGCAAATTATTAAAAGAATTTCAGAAGGAAAGAAAAAAGAAGACAGAGAACGTTAATTATAGTCCTAGATTCATTTTTAAATTAATATTTAACCCCAAACTCACAATTCTGTCATTATTTACTTGCTCTCATATTACTTCAAACCGCTGCTGTTTTTCTGTTCATGGGACACAAAAGGAGAAGTCTTTTGAAGCAACATAATAGTTTTGTGTGAGGAACAGACTACAATTGAAGTCATTATTCACTGATAAACTTCCCTTCAGTGAGCTGTTGGCTGCTGGGTCCAGAACAAGTCTCTGAGTTCAGAGTCACTTGATCAGTCCAATTAGTGAACAAATAATTCTTTTAAACTGGTTCTTTTTGATAAATTGGTTGATTTGTTCGCAATTTGGTTCATTTCACTAACACAATGATCCAGAACCAACAGCTCACTGAAGGGAAATATTATCAGTGGATTACAGCTTTAAATTTGGCCTCTTTCTCATACAAAGCTTTCGTAGGATTTCAGAAGACTTGGAATACAGTATGTAGCTCTTTTGGAGGTATTTATTTGTCACTTTTAGAGCTTGACAGACATAGTATTGGTGTATGGAAAAAGCCACATTAAGATTCTTCTTGTGTTCCACAAAAACAATGACATGAGTAAACAATGGCAGAATTATAATCCTTTAAACACCCATTTACTCCTATACATAAGTGCATACTGCTGTAGTACCATTGTTATCTAAATGTTAATAAATATCGGTACAGGCTTGAGAACATCATGGTTCACATAACATGCTATGCCCTCTCACTAGAATCTAAAATTCAACCTGAATAGAAGTATTATTTGAACACTGTCTTTATGTCGGAGAAGGAATCGAGTGGCAAAATTGTCACTCTCCAAAAGCGTCAGATGTAAGTTTAGACCATCAAGGCCTAGAAATGTTGTTATCTCAGTGGATTAAATATGCTCTTTTTGCAGTTTACATCTAAAGAGTCTTCTTTTCACAACATGTCAAATATAATGTGTAAAGTACAACTGGTGTACGATTCAGAAATGGAGAACTTGCATTGGATTTTTCATCACATTACACTGGATTTCATGACTTTAGACTTTCAGTCTAACTAGTCTTAAGACTGAAATACACTACACAACTTTTCAAATCTGAAAAGATTTTTAAATGGCTGATAATCACACACCATTAGACTTTCAAGTCATTTCGATCTGTCAATCTGTAATACGGCTCCGACTGCAACTGCATCAACTCGTCAAGACTGTGAATCGGGGCAAAAATCTGGGAAAAGTTGTGTGGTGTATTCCAGCCTTTAATTACAAATAAATATTAAGTAAGGTTGGTAACAGTGACGCCAATTCCCCTGTTGTTCCAAAAATGTGATTTCTTGTTTCCTGGTTGGTCCCAACATGGGTGAAATGAGGGTGACCTCCCCTTGTGCTTCCACAGGCTTTGTGCTTTCAAAAGTCCACAGATTAAGACACACCACTTCGCACTTTACATCATCATCCTTCAAGTGTGACAAGTCAGCCAACATTTGGCAATCCATCATCAATCAACCTGTGTTAAACTGATTAAAATGGCTTTCGAAAAAATCTCCTGTGCAAACAAGTGTGGCAGAACAAAAGCGTACCATGTGTGCTATATGTCATAATCTCTTGTTATAGAGGCTGTGCTCCATAAACAAAAATCTGTACAACTTCTGTAAGGTTCATGACAATATGTGCTTTGAAAACTATGACCGGCGCATCTAGAAGGAGCCGGGGTCAAAATGTCTCTGAGTCCGAGTCATTTTCGGTGGTCGTGCCCTCACTGGAGGGGCCAGAGGGGTCCCTTGGACTGCGGGGGCCTTGGGTGCTCTTGGCCTGGCGGGGCAGAGATTTCAGCAGGGCGCCTGGCGAAGGAGCTCCAGAGCTGCAAGGGGAGCAGAAAGGCATCATGGTAGCCAGAATAAGAGCCAGGCAGTCAGCCACTTCCCTGCTGGGAGCGCAAGCCAGAGCAGGGGTGAGACCTGCGGGGAAAGACAGCCAAAGAGCGAGAGACAGGAAAGGGGACAGGAAAGCAGAAAGAGGTAAAAGGAGGGATGGAGCAGTGGAACAAAGGGACAATGGTGGAGAGGCGATGGACGAAAGCGGCATTCAATTAGTGCCCCGCTAGATAGGCAGCCAAACACATGGTCAGGGGCAAAAGGGGACACGCATGACATCGTCAAAGCTATGAAACACGGCCACTGCTTTTGGCAGATAGAGAGATGCATATACACTGACAATCTATGCGTAAACCAAATAAGCGGAGATTTTAGTTTCAGGAAGACGCACCATTCTCATCTAGTACTTGAACACTGGCCCCACGAGAGAGCAGCTCTTGCACTGTCTGCTTCATCCCGCTGCGAGCAGCCAAATGCAGAGGTCTGAGGAAGTGAACAGGAAACAAGTGAGCATCAGTTGCTTCTTAAATAATGTATAAGAGCATGGCGCTAGCAAAGTCAAGGTCATGGGTTCGAATCCCAGGGAATGCATGAACTGATAAAAAGTATTCCTTAAATGCAATGCATGTTGCTTTGGATAAAAGCATCTGCCAAATGCCTAAATGTAAATATATTATGTACTATACTGTAATGTGGAGGGGAACTCACGTTTGCAGTGCAGCGTTTGTAGCGACGAGGGCAGAGTCTGGAAGTTTTCCAAGAATGAGCAATGCACATTCCTCCATTCCCTGGACAGAGAGCAAGCAGAAAGAACAGGAAAATCATCTTTAGGAGACCTCAAGTAATACATTTTCAAAAATACTGTTTGCAATGTGGGTTTTTATATCTGGCACAATTTTATTGCTTGATAATTATATGAAGTATTAAAACCCCATAACTACAGTCACACATAGGTGTCTGCATTACTTAACAAGTGGAAATGTTAACATTTTTCTGTTTTTGAAAAGGCCAAATTATTATAATAAAAAAACAATGAAATATGATTTTTGAGTGAGTAGATATAATGAAAATCGTTGATTTAGTGAATTATGTGTCACTGATGTGAATATAACATTTCTGGGGGATCAGGAAAGGTCCACAAGCCGGGACTCAAACTCGGGATGCCTAAAGCGCAACAGCGCTATATATCGTACCTACACTACCTACAAGGCTATTGCGCCCAGTTAGTGGCATTTTGACAAAATGACATATTTTGCTTATAACAAATTATAAAAATGATTATGAAAGATCACTGCTGACACTGAAATTATAGAGACTAATGGCCATGGCATGCAATGGGCTATACTTACGTTACTGCAGGCTAGATGGAGAGCTGTATTTCCCTTCTGGTCAGTCAGATTGAGGTTCACATTGGCACTAGTAAGTAGAGCTTCTGTTTAAAACACACGCCACATTTTGCATAAGTGCATTCAATTGAGCCCATTTTCATACTTTCATACAAATGAACAGGGGCATAATTCAAATTAAAAAAATGGGGAATACAAACCTAAAACTTCGACTCTTCCTTTCTCCGCTGCCATAATCAGGGCACTGAGCCCTGATTGGTCAACATCATCCACAGATGCACTATGGGCCAGGAGCAGCTGAACACAGTCTATGTGGCCAGCAAATGCAGCTGCGTGGAGAGGTGTCCTGATAAAGAGGGACAGCAGTTTTTTAATAAATTGTTTCACTGATAGCTCTGAAAACAATGCTAATGATGAACATAAACAACTCATTAGAAACATTTCAATTGTCAGGACTATCTTAACTTTTCCTAGCCAAATTAGTAATGACTTTAAAGAACTGGGGTCAAGGTGTATTTTAAAGTTAGTTCCTCTCAAGTTCTCAAATGTGTCTTAGTTTGACAAACAGAAAGTGTCCAAATATTTGTATCTTAATTTTTAACAGTGTATATATATATATATTTACATTACATTTACATTTAATCATTTAGCAGACGCTTTTATCCAAAGCGACTTACAAATGAGGACAATGGAAGCAATCAAAATCAACAAAAGAGCAATGATATACAAGTGCTATAACAAGTCTCAGTTAGCTTAATGCCGTTCACATAGCAAGGGTTTTTTAAATAATATAATAAATAAAAAGAAACAGACAGAATAGAAAAAGAACAGAGCAAGCTAGTGTTAGAGGTCTTTTTGCTTTTGTTAATTGTATAATAAATGAAAAGAAAACAAATAGAATACAAAAAGATTAGAAAGCAAGTGTTGTTGTTGTTTTTTTTTTAGAAAACAAGCAGCAAATGAATAGAGTGCAAGTCTAAAAGGGACAAGTTTTTTTTTAGTTTTTTTAAGAATAGAATTAGAATAGAGAGTGCTAGAGTTAGAGGGTCAAATAAAGATGGAAGAGATGTGTTTTTAGCCGATTCTTGAAGATGGCTAAGGACTCAGCTGCATATATATATATATATATATTAAAAAAATATTAAAAACCTGTATTAAAAAGGTAACCACCTTTTTGAAAAATATATTGTTTAAAAAAATTTATCTGTGTTATTCTTCAAAATGTTTACCTTTTTTGTTATTTAACGCAGTTTAAAATGTGGTTTATTTTTTCAAAATTTGGAAACACTGTAGATACGAATCTATTGTATTCTATTACATCTAATACGGTTTTCTCTCTTCACATATACCAAACTAACCTGCCCTTGGAGTCTTTGCAAGTTACAATCTTTGATCCCATGGCTTCTAATAAAAGGTTGGCACAGGTCTCCTGGTCATTGACCCTGCAGGAAAGAGGAATCAGAGACAGACAAGTTAAAAGAAAAGAAAAAAGTGCAAAAGAAGACCGAAAACTATCTCACAGCAGACATACACAGCACAATGTAGTGGGGTGAAGGGGTTCCCATCAAAGTGACGAAAATCTCTTTGTTCAAGTAGGACCTCCACACAACCCTCATGACCTATGAGACACACAAGCTACATTTAATTTATTGATAAATAAAAGCATCTTTTTAAACTCATAATGGAGACTGTTAAAACCAACCATAGTAACAGGCCCAGTGTAAGGGTGTGTATCCCTGGTTGTCTTGTAATGGAGGTATCGGGGGTTCAGAACACGCAATATTGAGCAATTCACTCAACCAGGACGCGTGACCCCTCGCTGCAGCCAGGTGGATGGCTGTCCGACCCCTGGAGTCCCCCAGCAGCACAGATGCCTCTAGCTCCACCAGCGACTGAACACATTCCTCCTGTCCACACAAGAGCTAAGAGAGAGAGAGAGCTTTAAAAAAAAAGTCCTTGTACATCTTGTACTTGAATATGTTTGACAAGATCAGAAAACTCACCCCCAGGTGCAAAGCAGTCAGACCCTGATGATCAGCCAAGTCCACACTGGCCTCACGCTCCAATAGAAGAGACACAGCATCCACATGACCCCCCATTACTGCCAGCATTAGAGGGGTCCTGCAAACACAAACGCACATAGAACAAATACCCATTAAAGCACTCTCAAGTGCAAGAATCTCCTTAATTGTGTTTAGATGGTTAATTTCAATCAGCTGTTACTTAAATGTACCCATGGACTTTGGGGAAGATTAATGATTGATTTTTTTCCTCGTAGCTTGGGCAAAATGAATATTATATAAATTAGGGAGTTGATTTATTTTATTTTTAGTATTCATATGACGTGTGTTCACGTTTGATTATGGCATACTAATTGAGATCCTCAACATTTATTTATTGTAGAAAAATAATTATATTCATTTTAAAATTCATTAGTTGCATAGTAATAATACAAAATAAAATAAAAATTAAATGTAGTCAGCAGTTTTTTATGGGTAACAGTTTTAGCCAAATTTGTTTGTTTTTTTTAGTTTTATTTGACTAAGATAACTTCTATTTGAGAAGTAAAAAGACATGACACACTCATTCCACCCCAAAATCCTTGTGGCATTATAAAGAAAGAAAAAAAGTTATTAAATTAACTACTCACTGTCCCTGAGAGTCCGCTGTATCTACCAGATCTGCATTATCAGAGTCTTCCAGCAGGAGGCGCACGCACGATGTATGACCATTCATTACTGGAAACAAACTGAGTGTATTAAATACTGCATTAAAAAAATGCACAGCTGTGTAATTTCCACCACACAGAGGTGTAATACCTGCAAGGTGGATCGGTGTACGTCCTCGGATAGTATCTTTGCTTCTCGGCGAGGCCCCATGGTTCAGAAGCGTGAGAGCGCAGTCAGTGTGGCCCCTGAGGGCAGCAAGCATTAGTGGAGTCCGACCCACCTCATCCCCCTGATCCACCTCGCAGTGACCCTCCAAGAGCACTTCTAGAGCCTGTGCGTGACCGTGGTACGCCTGGAAACAAACATATATAGACCAACTGTCTGAAAACATATCACATATATGTGGCCCTGGAGCACAAAACCAGTCTTAAGTCGCTGGGGTATATTTGTAGCAATAGCCAAAAAAACATTGTATGGGTCAAAATTATTGATTAAGATGATGTATAAATCTCAATTTCACAAAATTGACACTTATGACTGGTTTTGTGGTCCAGGGTCACGTATATCATTGAGGTTAGGGCCTGTCTGTAGTAATTAAACCTTGTAAGAGTTTCAAAAAAACATGCAAGCTGCTTTCCTATGCAAAAGTTGGCTTCAGGATGCTAAGGTGGTAGCCAAGGTATTGATATATGTAACCCTGGACCATAAAACCAGTCATAAGGGTCAATTTTTTGAAATTGAGATTTATACATAATCTGAAAGCTGAATAATTAAGCTTTCCATTGATGTATGGTTTGTTAGGATAGGACAATATTTGGCCGAGATACAACTATTTGAAAATCTGAAATCTGAGGGTGCAAAAA